GGGAAGAGGCAAGCCTCCAGGGCCTTCAGCCTCTACGCCAACATCGACATCCTCCGGCCCTACTTCGACGTGGAGCCCATCCAAGTGCGAACCAGGTGGGCAGGGCCCGGCCTGGGCCACCTCCGGCGGGGGGCGGGGGGCATCTTCAACCCCTTCGTGCTCCGCTGCCTTACGCGGCTTCTATGGGGCTGGCAACGTGGCAGTGTCCAAAAAGGCCGAGTTTGGTGAGGCTGGATGACGAAAAGTGCTCTCCTTCCTGTCAGTGATCTGTTCAGTCGACGATCTCTTATCCCTGAGTGGATCCCTAAATACTTTCATTGAATCTCTCCCGCAGAGTTAACCTGTGTAGGTAAACAAAGAGTAAGGTTTGTTTTCTTTAGTAACCTTGTGTGATCCTTTAGAAGGACCTACCCCTGAAGGGGCTACAAGGAAGCTGGGGGGGGCTTTTTACAAGGGCCTGTAGTGACAGGACAAGGGGGAACGGGTTTAAATTTAAAGTGGGGAGGGTTAGGTTGGGTATCAGGAAGAAGTTCTTCCCGGAGAGGGTGGTGAGGCACTGGAACAGGTTGCCCAGAGAAGCTGTGGATGCCCCATCCCTGGAAGTGTTCAAGGCCAGGCTGGATGAGGCTTTGAGCAACCTGGTCTAGTGGAAGGTGTCCCTGCCCATGGCAGGGGGCTTGGAACTAGATGGTCTTTAAGGTCCCTTCCAACCCAAACCATTCCATGATTCTATGACTTGCTGCCCCCCAAGGCCTATGACCACAGTAGAAGCCACCGGGGATAGGTGTATGGGATCTTTTATTTTGAAGCATTTTGTTGACTGTCCTGTTGTCCTCCCTGCTCCTGGTGTCATTCCTGGCTTTGCTGTGATGCAGGCTGCTGGAGTCCATGATTCCCGTGAAGATGATTAATTTCCCACAGGTGAGTTCCCTTTTGTTGAATCAGATTTCATGGCCCAGGTGAGTGACCCACAGACACCCTGTAAAACTTAATTACTCTGTGTTGTTAAGGACCAGAGTTTGTTAGGCGTTCATCTCCCTGAACATGTCAGTAAACCTTTTCCTGTGGTTGTTCCAAACCCCAGTGTGCTACGTTTAGTGCTGGTACAGTCAAACATCCCAGACTCCTCATCACACACCCCGTTCTGCCTGGCTCACATCAGCAATGGCCTTGCTGTTAATTCTCAGGCGGGTGGGTGATAAACTTCATCCCAGGCACTGCTGGCATTGCTTGGGGTGGGAGGCCTGGTATTCAGGAGCACTAACCCATCCTCCCCTGTTCTGTCTCCTCCTGCAGAAGATTGCAGGCGAGCTGTATGGACCCCTCATGCTGGTTTTCACACTGGTGGCCATCCTTTTGCATGGGATGAAGACCTCGGACACCATCATTGTACGGCGAGTTTCAGTGATAAGTCTGGGGTTGGCTGGGCCCTGGATTGCTGTAACAACACTAGGAAAGGAGAGGAAACCTATGACTAGATAGCATCTTGCTGAAAAGCAGATTGACGTGAGGAAGAGCCTGTTTGTTTGGGGATGGGAGGAAGGGATGCATCAGCAAATCTTGGTGCTCTGCTGCTGGGAGAGCTGGGGTGTCACTCACGTGGCAGCCAGGGTACTGCTAGTCAGCTACTTGATAATGCCTGGAAAAGACCTGAGAACTCTGCGGTGGAATTTGGGTGCTAACAGGTCACTTAGAATCGTAGAATAGAATATATCTCGTTGGAAGGGACCCATAAGGACCATCGAATCCAGCTCCCTGCCCCTCATAAGAATACCTAAAACTAAACCATACGACCAAGGGTGTCATCCAGATGCTCTTCCTCGCTTAACTTTGAGTCCTCCCCATCCTTTTGCTTGTCTCCACAGAGGGAAGGCACACTGATGGGCACAGCCATTGGCACCTGCTTCGGTTACTGGTTGGGCGTCTCTGCTTTCATCTACTTCCTGGCATATCTGTGCAACGCCCAAATCACGATGGTGCAGATGCTGTCGCTGTTGGTATGTACAGATGGGGTGCCCCTGGGTGCAGGTGGGCTGCACGGTGTTCCAGCATGAGGGTGGTTTGTGAGCGCTTCCCAGAGAATGGGAAAAGTCGTTGTAAATCAGTTGTCCCAGGTGACTGTGCTGGGACAACCTGGAGTTCCAGGATGTTCTGACCTGCCCCATCCCGGGCACAGCGATAGCACAAAGAGGCCATTTCTTCTTGCAGGCCTTCTGCTATGCACTTCCTGATCCAAAAAAACCAAACTAGGAGATTCCAATTTCTCTGAAATCGGAGGCTCTTTCCTCTGTTTCCCAAGGTGTTGCAATCTCAAACATTCCTGTGGATCCTTCAGACAGGTTATCTGGGTGTGAGCTGCTGTTAAAGTCGTGCTGGTTGACTCTGGCATGGAATGAGTGGTCTGTGAAGCGCTGCAGGAATAGAATCATAGAATCATAGAATGGTTTGGATTGGAAGGGACCTTAAAGATCATCTAGTTCCAACCCCCCTGCCATGGGCAGGGACACCTTGCACTAGACCAGGTTGCTCAAAGCCTCATCCAGCCTGGCCTTGAAGACATCCAGGGATGGGGCATCCACAACATCTCTGGGCAACCTGTTCCAGTGCCTCACCACCCTCTCTGTGAAGAATTTCTTCCTGATATCTAATCTAAACCTCCTCTAATAGGCTGCCCGTGCTCTTGATCAACGGCCCATTGTGTGGGACCGACACTTCTAACGTGGACGTTTGTGTTTTGTCAGGGCTACGGTCTTTTTGGACACTGCATCACTCTCTTTGTCACCTATAATATCCACTTCCACTCCCTTTTTTATATCTTCTGGTTGGGTGTTGGTGGACTCTCTACACTACGAATGGTAAGGGACGGGCAGCCTGGGGCCCTCCTCTTCTGGGGACAAATAAAGGGAGGGAAGTGTTGTTGCTCTCTGTTCCTCGGGCCTGGCAGTTCATTTCACAGCCAGCCAGGCTGCTGTGGAGAACAGCCTGACGTTCCTGGGTCGTATGGCCACTGGTGTATAGAGGTTGGGTTACTATCCTTACCCATTCTAAAAGCTGCAGGAGGTTCAATCCCTTTCAGCCCTTGTTGCCATGGCGAGTCAGGCCCGAGCATCCCGCCCTCTTGGCAGGACCGGGCAAGGTTCACCTACACAAAACAAAGTCAGGTTACTCTGAATTTGTTGGCACAAACTGCGACAAAGGCTCTGAGCAGTGTTTCCACTGGCCCATCCTCCTGTAAGCTCCCGACCGCAGTGCCAGAGGTTGGAGTAGCAGCTGCCTTATCTCACATCTCCGCCTCTCTCCTAGGTTGCTGTGTTGGTGTCGCGCACCGTGGGGCATACCCAGCGGCTCATCCTGTGCGGGACTCTCGCTGCTCTGCATATGCTTTTCCTCCTCTATCTGCACTTTGCTTATCACAAGGTGGTAGAAGGTAAGCAAGGGAGATCTGAAAGCGTGCCCTGTTAAATCTGGGGATCAGCTGCTTTTTGCTGCCTCTGAGGGAAGGGATGGACAGTTTGGATCTGACCTGAGGGGATCCGTGCCAGTTTCCAACCCAGTGACCAGCACTAGCGTTACTAGAGGAAGCTGTTGAAGTAGAGCAGCAAGTAGACATGGGGTAGTTTGTGTGCACCGAGGTTTAGTACTTCAGACGTAAGCTGGGAGGCAGGACGCTTACTCTCTCCCCACAAGTGAAGTGTAACAGCAGTGACTGTAACTGCATGGAACAGTCCCTTCCTGAATCTTGCTGAAGTCAGGTTGTATTTCTCTGATCAGGAAATGTCGTAAGTCTTCTTCCTTCTTTGTGTAACACCTTTTTTATCTCGTGTTGTACAACACAGATAGCAGAAGCTGCATCCTCCACTGGTTGATGCCATTTACCAGGCTATACATGTTCAGGTCCCCTTCTGTGTCTGGTTTTTTTCTCCTAACAAAGCCTCAATCTCCTTAAAAAAAAAAAATCTCCTACCTCATCACTAGATAGAGTTTCTAGATCCCTAAATATGCAATTCTGCAAGCCTCTTCATGAGCTTTTAGGCAGGCAGACCTGTCTAATTGGGGTTACAGCATAGCATTACAAGTCCTTTTAGATGTAAATACTGTTCTTTCCTGGATCCGTTCTTACGGGGAAGGTTCTGAGCCCTGATCTGCAATTTTTCAGCAGATGAAACAGGATAAAATACACTCCAAGCAATTTTCTGCAAGGCACTCCAAGACTGATTTATCAGCCTTGAGTCAGTAATTGACGGGGACTGGAGGACACTTCTGCGGGTACGCGAGTTTCCTGCCAAACGTGGTCTGTGTTTGCACTGCAGTGATAAAAATCCTACACTGCACCCCCAGCTGCAGCTTCTGACGCGAGTCTGAAAGTGTGTCTCGGAATGGAAGCACACAACTGGTCTAAGAGCAGGATCTGTGCTGGGATGAGGGGAGAGGATTTTATCAATCTGTCTTGGCAGAGCAGCATCCCTGACAGTGTCTGCATTTGGGACAGATGGCAGGGAACTGGATCTGACACCCCCAAAATGAAAGGATCTCTGTTCCTCTTGGGAACACAGAGTTTCCCTGCCCCAAGGACAAGCTGTGATCTATACCCTGTTGTCTCTGGATGGAAGTGTTTACTCCTGTTCAGTCTTTGGGGCTAGATGCCTTCTCCTGTCACCTGCAAGTGCTTCACATGTCCTGGGCCCTGTCACCATCAACCACTACCTGGCCAGAGAGAAAAGCAAGAAGAAACATGCCATCTGCATCTGAACATACTCTTGCCACTCTCCCCTTTTTTTCTGTTCCCTGCAGGTATCCTGGACACATTGGAAGGACCCAACGTGCCACCCTTTCAGCGGGTTGCCAGAGACATTCCAGTTGTTTCCAGTGCTGTATTGAACACAACAGCCAAAGGCGTTGCATTGACCCTGTAGTTTCACAGGCTTGGACTTGCTTCCTCCTCTACTTCTGGGGCTGCATAGGGCCATAATAACCTGCTGCCTCTTAGGAACAGGACAGAACAGCAGGAAGAAGACTTGATTTTGTTTTCCTGGACCTGTTTTCCTTCAGATTGCCGTTTCGGGCTCCTGAGTGGACTGCACCTCTGACTCAGAAGAACTGTGCTCTTCCCCCATGCAGGTCTGGGCTGTCTTGAGTAGAGTGGTTCTGACGCCTGCATGTTTAGCTGGGATTTCCCAGCGCAGTTTGTCCCTTACTCCTCTTTCCACTTGCTGATGTAACCCCAGGGCTATCTGCCCTGTTCCTGTCCTGAAGAGGGAAGAATTAAATTGATGTTGGTGCTGAGGGATGTCTTATGTTTGAGCTTACTTGTGTGATGGGAGAATGGTGTTGGGTTTCTACACTTCTAGCTCTTCTGTCCTAGACTCCAAACAGGTTTCTTCACAATTTTCTGCTCTCCTACTTCAAATGTTCTGTGATACATGGCCTGTCTTGGACACCTTTTCCATAGCAAAAAAGGCATAGGAACTTAGTTTCTCTGAGATTTTTGTAACAGCATGATGATTAACCACATTCTCTTCCTTGTCGTGTTCCAGATCGATCCTTCTCTTTTAAACTGACCCAAGCTGCTATCTCGCCTCGCCACCCCTTCTGTGTACGTCTGAAATGTGTGTGTCCCCGTGCCTCCACAGCACCTTTTGTCCACCTTGCTCTGTGGGACAGCAGTTCTGGCTGCAGGGGCAGCATGTTTGTGCGTGGTCTCTGGATATTTCTGTTCAGAGGCTAGTTGAGCCCACCCTCGCGCAGCTTGCTGCCATGTCTCCCAGCCATGGGAGTTTCACCTTGTTGCTCGGAGCAGGAGCAGCATCCTGCTCCCACAGACACAGTCTGCTCTGTACTGTCTGGCTTTTCAAGCTGAGTCCAAGCCTTACTTCTGAAAGGGCTCCGGGAGCCTTGAGAGTCTCTGGCAAACTTCTCTCCAGTGTTTCCATTAAACAAAGGGCGAATGGGGAAGCAGAGCAGCCCAGCATAGGCTTACTTGCGCTGCAGTAGCTCCTAATTGCAAAGTTCAGATGGAGTCTTCCCGCACGGTTCGAACTTGTCCTGGTCCAAGAGTGGCAAGCTGTTAGCTGGGATGTGGCTTTTTCCTCTCTCTTCTCCCTGTAGCTCTGGATGATGGGGGAGAGAAGCCAGTCGCAGAAGTTCAGCTTTACACTCAGGCTGGAAAAAGAAAACCCTCCCAAGATGTTTCCCTTTCTTCCCCACAAATCAGCTGTGCTCAAGGCAGGCAGCGTGTCAGAACTGCACTCTGTCCCCTGGCTTGTATTAGTGGGAGAGGATGCAGCTGTGGTGGTGTTCAGACAAGTGCCGAGGCGCAGTGGAAGAGGGGGGATAGTGGTAGCTACTGCCATCAGGCTGGTCATCTGCTTCAGTTAAAAATGTCACCAGCTAGGACTTGAGCCTTTTTAGTCACAGACCTACTGTCCACGGTTTGCTTATTCCCAGGTTCATAATGTGTTCCCCTTCTGAGAGCAAGAAGCTCGTCTAACAAACACACGTAACAGATGTGTTCTCTCACCCTCTTCTCCTGCAACCTCCCACCTCGTGAAACTTATTTTGGCTGAAGAACACCACTCAGAACAAGTTGTTGGGGGGAATGAAAATAATTACGTGGGTAGTGTGCACTTTTTTTTTTTTTTTTAACCAACTGAACCACTGGAAGCTCCTAGAATTTCCACTCCGCTTTCAAACGTGACAAAATGGGAGTGTTGGTTTGTAATGCTGCATGACTCCGGTGTTTCCCTCTTTATAACTCCCTGGGAGGTTGGTTTCTAATTCACATTTCCTGCCCTGGCAGCCTAGAACAGGTCTGTTTATCTGGATGCAAGTTTTTCCAAGCACAGGCAGAAAGGAAAGAATGGAGAAAGAGACAATTGCCACTAGAATAAGTCCAGCCAAGAAGAAAAAAAATCATTCTGTGACAAACGCTGTCACTGCTGGTCTTCAGACACTGTCAGAGAAGAGCTGGGCTCCCCTCCCACACCTAGCCACGTCAGAGGGGGGAAGCTGCACTCTGTTCTCACTCAAAGCTGAGGAGAGAGCAGCGAGCGCTCTTCAGGCTTCCCCTGTGCAGCTTGTGTGTCATGTCAGCTGGGGACAGATGACCAGGGTGACAACCAGCCAGTCTCTTGCCAGCTGGGGGGGTCTTGCTCTGCTCCCATTCTCCAGCCCTGATTCATTCTCTGTGCAGCAGCTGAATTGTTCTGCGCTGCCAGAAATCCAGCACTCGGCTGAGAGCTTCAGCACCTCCTTTTGCTGAGAGAGGGACGCACGTTTGCAGGGAAATGCACGCGTGCTGCAGTGCCAGGGAGCATGCTGAGCACGCAGCCTTAGCATAAAGTCCTTGTGGGAGGGCATCTCTCTCTGCTTACTCAAGGCCTCTGGTTATCCGGGCGAGCCATACAGCCCTATCATGCCTTTGTTTCCTGCCATGGCTCTTGCAGCAAATCTAAACTAATTTTCTCCCTCCTCCCTTGCAGCAAATCTGAAACAACCCCCACCTCCATCACCCTCCCCCTTTTGAGGAAGGGTAGCTGTGTGAGAGCTGTGTATTTTATTAAAGCTGAAACATCTAACGCTGTCAGATTCAAAAAGGGAAAGTGAAATCTATATTAAAGCGTGCTATGACCGCCTCCTCTGCAGTACCTGCGAGTCCAACCCTTTACAGCCCATCCTTCTCATCACCTTGGTTGTGCTTTGGATTACAGGTAGGCTGTTTCTTCCCTCATTTGTTTTCCTTCCTGCATCTAGATTCACTCTAGCTGCTCCTCATCCACTGCTTTCCTCCAGTTATGTGTTGGGTCTCAATGGCATCAGTTTAGGGAGTCAGCCCTCATTCTTCCCGCCCCCCGTAAGTAAACAATAAACTACCTTCCCCAAACCTGCTGGGTAACTGCACGTGAGCCCTCAACATCAGAAGGTTATAGTCCAGAGGAGGCCACGAAGATGCTCAGAGGGCTGGAGCACCTCTGCTTATGGGGACAGGCTGAGAGAGTTGGGCTTGTTCAGCCTGGAGAAGAGAAGGCTCCGGGGAGACCTTATAGCACCTTCCAGTACCTGAAGGGGCTACAAGGAAGCTGGGGGGGGGTTTTTACAAGGGGCTGTAGTGACAGGACAAGGGGTAATGGGTTTAAATTGAAAGTGGGGAGGTTTAGATTGGATATAAGGAAGAAGTTCTTCCCAGAGAGGGTGGTGAGGCACTGGAACAGGTTGCCCAGAGAAGCTGTGGATGCCCCATCCCTGGAAGTGTTCAAGGCCAGGCTGGATGTGGCTTTGAGCAACCTGGTCTAGTGCAAGGTGTCCCTGCCCATGGCAGGGGGGCTGGAACTAGATGATCTTTAAGGTCCCCTCCAACCCAAACCATTCCGTGATTCTATGACAAGGAAGCAGTATCTAGGTCTTCACAAAATCACACTGCCAAATTCCCCTCTGCATAGCCCTTTATTTGGTTTAGTGAGTCAAGGCTTTGAACCATTAGCTCCTGTGACACTTTTCCCAATATATTTGAGCATAAAGCAAGGTAGGACATGTCTCCTTGATGCGCTCTTGCTCCTGACAACAGGCAGTGTAGATGCCAGCACTTAGACTTTAGAAGCAGCCTGATGCTCTCTAAGCAAAGCTTTGGGGCTGCTGCTGTCAATTGAAGTGGGCCATGTCCCAGGGGCTCTCCTCCAAGCACTTCTCTAATAATAGCCTGTTTAACGAAGCACGGGTTAATTAGTGCCTAGAGGTGATTGCGAGGCAAGACTCAGTGCACTCTTTTAGTCGACCTGTATTTTCTTGGTCATCCCCTGCCCAAAACTCTACCATCCAGCCTCTGCCCCTCACAGCCCCAAAATACGCGGGATCTCGTTCTCACCTGGACCGCTGAATATGCCCTTACAGAGCGGTGGCTCCTTTTTTCTGAAGCCATCACCTGTACCAGCCCGGCACAGCTCGATGCTCGCAGCTGCTGCTCACATCCCAGCACAGGTGAGTTGCCAGGCCAGCGGTCTGTTCCTGCAGCCGCTTGCAGGTGCAATATTGAGCCCGTGCACCCCTGTGCAACAGAAAAAGAGCAGAGGGTGTGTAGAAGCTGTAGAGAAGAGCAATGGGTTACACAAAAGGCACGGTGACACCTATGCTGTAAATTAGATGCTGCGGGTTGACACCCGAGTCCAGCTTCCTCTCTGGTGCTCCCCTTGTCTCCTTCAGGACCTAACGTGCAGCACTTGGCTCAGGTGACCTCCTCTGTTTCAACGGAGAAGAACTGCTTCCCTTCCGCCGCCACATCCTATTTCCTCCCTCACTTTCCATCCCCTCTCTTCCTCCCTGGCCTACAAACCAAGCGGAGGGCCCCGGTTTGCCCCCGACTTACCCACCGGACTAGAATTCACTGGAGCGCTGCTATATGCAGCAGCCAGATTAGTTACGTGCAAGAAGCTGCCTACTTAGGCGGTTTAACCTAATTTCCACATCACTGGCTTCCCTTTGCAGCTCAGCGGAGTTGAAAACGCAGGGGCCCTGCTGCCTATTTCTCTCAAAGCACGGAGTTACCGACGCGGGGGAGAGAGGGGACAAATCCCTCTGATCCGTACCTGCGCGTTAGCGGGGGGAGGGCACGGCGCTCAGGCTCTGGGTCAGGCGGAGGGTGAAGGCCGTGAGGTCTCCCCGCGAGGGTGAGGAAGCCTGGTGGCACTTCCCCCACTCCTCCAGCTTCCACCAGCTGCCTCCACCAGCCCTGGGCTGCGCGGACTGGTTCACTCTGACCTCGCCGTTCCGCCAC